CATCCCGCTGCCCAGGAGAGGCCGTGCGCTGCTATCCCATAAGCCAGGACAGCAAGAGGGATCGCTGCGCAGCGATTCCGCTTGCTGTCCTGGCTTATGGCTTAGCACGCGGCTCTTGCGGGACTGACGGGCTGCCCTTCTCCCTCCTTGGGGAAAAGCCTGCAAGCACTGCACACACGCTCCACGCGGCTTGTGAAAGGGAGCGCTGAGCTGAAGCAGAACTTGGGATGCATACAGGCTCTGCTCACTGCTCCCTTTAAAGAATCCCCCCCCCTTGCATTCCCCTCTAAAAACTAGGTGCATCTTATGGTCAGGTGTGTCTTATGGAGTGAAAAATACGGTACTTTGTTCCAGGGATGATGTTCCAGTATCCTGTGGACAGTTATACAAATACATGGGAAGCTGGTTTACTCTGACTCAGAAAACACTGGTCCATCTTGCTCAGTATTGAGTGAACCAACTTCACTCAGAAGTGAACCAACTTGCCAGTTGTACCTTATTCCTATGGACAGGACAGTGTCCTCTACCAGGAATGGACACTGGCCTTTCAAATTTCAGCAGCATCTTGTTCAAGGCCAAAATTCAGTGCTCCCTGTTAGATTTCTGTTATGCCACTGTGCAGTTTTTGGAGTCACAAGACTCTGTTTACATTCCAGACTGTTGGAAGTCTCATGGGAGACGGATGTTGATGTTACTGGTTTCCTGTTTCTTTGTACAGTTGTTCACTGACTCTCACAGAGAGCAGATGCATTTCTTTTCTGTCCTGCGTAGTTAGAAATAAACGTAGCAATGTAGCGCACACGTCTCACTCCTTTTGCTGCTGTTTGGATACTCTGCGTAATGAGGGAGTGTGCCTGAAGTCTCATTAAAGGCTTAGGTCGTTAATCAACGTTGGAGCAGAGGTTCATGGATTCTGAAGATACGAGGAGGAGGAGAGCTATTACAGCTCAGTCGTACGGAAGCTCCGACACTCCCCCACCTCTTGCCTTCCGTTCTGTGCATGCACTATGTCATAATTACGATGCCCTGCAATGCCAACCTCGGCTCGGTGCCCAGTGCGGTGGGACCAGTGGAGCTGCCCTAAACCCTCCTCTACCACACCCAAGGGCAGCAGGCTAGTTGTGGGAGTTCAGGGCGGGCCATGCAGCACACACAGTTCTGCCTTCCAACAGTGGAGAATGGCTGAAGGGCTCTAGAAGAATGGCTGGCTGCCTCACTCACTCTGTCTAATGGTAGTGCTGGCACTGTGACGTAATCTTCTGGCACTGAAGATCAATTAAGAAAAGTGACTACATGGAAGGCGTGTTTCCTTTCCCCCTTGGTGCCCTGCTATTTAATTCTGTTAAATAGATTAGATAAACAGAATTGGGTTGGCCGCCATGAGAACAAGATGCTGGAATAAACGGGCTTTTGACCTGGTCCAGCAGCCAGGCTTTTCTTATGCTCTCATCATTTGTCACCTGCCCATTCGTGCTTGAAAATGCTCACCCTGCACCTCCAAAATCTATTCTGACAGTGAAATAGCAGCAAACCTCAAAGAGAACAAGCGTGCTCAAGATCCTAGATACACTGAAGCTCGCAAAGTGTATAGAAAACTGAAAATTCAGAATATAACAAGGCTCTTGATGCCAGGGAATGGGAGAGAAGGAAGGTTCCCATTCTAGGACTGAGGATAACGTGAAAACACAGACATCTACATGGGTCCTGCTAGTTTTTAGAACATTGTTTCTGTGTTTTCAGGAATTTCCCCCAAGGTGATGTACTTATGCCTTTGGGATACATGTAAGAATTGCAGTGAAAATGCATAAACTGTGATTCCCTTGATTCTGTGGTATTGACATCCGTTGTATAGCAGCTGCACAATGACAGTCCCATATCCATGGAGAACTATGGCAAGGCCACATCTTCCTAGGTTCCTTGAGGATGGGACAGTATTGAGTCAAATGAGTATCTGGTTGGACTCTACATAAGCAGGTCTGTGTGCATTGGGCAGATGTCCAGAATTTTGTAATGGGTAAAGAAAAGCAAAATTCTGTTAAATCTCAGCAGTCAAGTTTCCAGCCTCTTTGGACTGTGGAGATGGGCTTGAAAACGCGGAGATCTAGAGCTGCGCTGAAATTTTCTTTTTCTGCTATTGAGGGGGAGTGGCGTGGGGTGGGGAAAGAAACAAAAACTCATGTGAAGATCATGGGAGTGGAAGATATTTCTTGAACATTGTGTGTGTGTGTGTGTGTAGGGTTACTTGCAGCTTATCTTACTTAAAGTTGAGATTTCTCCCCCCATATTGATTTTTAATTACAATTTATTAATTACCGTATTTTTCTCTCCATAGGACACACCGGCCCATAGGACGCACCAAGTTTTTTGGGGGGAAATAAAGAAAAAAAAATTATTCCCCCCCCAGGCACTTGCGGGGCTGGCAGCGGGGAGAAGCGCTCTTCTCCCCGCCACCCGCCTGCAGACGAGGTCCGGGGACAGCGGGAAGACGCGCTGCGCCTCCCAGCTGTCCCCGGAGCTTGCGGGGCTGGCGGCGGGGAGAAGCACGCGTCTCCCTGCCGTCAGCCTCCAAACCACATTGGGAGACAGTGGGATGGCGGCATTCCGCCTCCCCGCTGTCCCCTGACCTTGTGGGGCTGGTGCTGCAGCTCTCCCGAAGCCTGGAGAGTGAGAGGGGTCGGTGCGCACCGACCCCTCTTGCTCTCCAGGCTTCAGCGAAAGCCTGCATTCGCCCCATAGGACGCACACACATTTCCCCTTCATTTTTGGAGGGGAAAAAGTGCGTCCTATAGGGCGAAAAATACGGTGATTAAATCCTCAAGCTGCCTTTCATTTGAAGCTCACAGGGCGGTTCACAATGTAAAACTACAAAATGAAAGTTTTAAAAGCAAGGGAAAAGCTTTTTTAAAAAACAAAAACAAACAACCCGCGTCCTTTGCCACCTCATAAGTTTAAGTAAGGTATGCAGAACTCCTCATTTACACACACACACACACACACACACACACACTTCTCACCCCAAAGAAAACAGTAGAAAATCAGGATCTATTTTCCAGGGGAGAGTATTTTTGGGAAACTGGGAAGGAAATCTTGGGCTACATTTAACGAGAAGTGATGCCTGATGACATTTCCGAAGCAGAGAGTGATTTACAGAAGTCAGAGTGTTCTGCACAGCTCCTGGCCTCATCTCGTGACTGGCAGATGCTGAATAAATTACGTCAAATAAGAACATGTATGCAAATAAGCTTAATTTGATTTGCATAATTTATCCACCTTGTATAATTCAGCTGGGGGGCCCAGAATTATTTTTATTTTTATTAAGTGCACAAATATTCCTGTGAATATATTGCTGTGTTTCCCTTTACAATGAATTCTACATTGTGGAGAAGGTGTGGACTCCTACACAAATTGGAAACAATATGGACCTCCTGATGGTTTTTATGTTATGATAAATGTCTGCTATTTGATGATTAATGACAATTACTGGTATGTCTTAAGACAGCGTATGACTTTTTGTGTCACGAGCCTCTTAAAACACAAATACACATTTACATCTGTTGTCTGATGAATCTCCTTCACCTACATATGGTGAAAATGATATCATTCAAGGCTCTACAGATTTGTCAGTAAATGTCAGAATTTGCAGACATTACCTTGCTGACCGTCATACAACCCTAAGCCCGATAAACATAAGCATCCACCAAATCTATCGCGACATATGCAATTACAGGGAATGCTACATATTATTTCTTTTCTAGCGGAGTAGATGTGATTAGGAAAGCTTAGTCATTAACAGCCGAGAAGACCTATATGGCCACACCACATGCTTTGTGAGTTAACCTCTTCCTGCTGTTTCCAAATTCCCACTGGGATCTGTACCACATAAGTCCCCTCCTTGAATTAGGTCTGCACATTCGCAGCATGGACCAGGCCGTATCACCCAAACATATTTAAAGTGCTACGTATCTTCAAGGCCTTTACATAGTTTGCTGTATAAAGGCTGGCTCAAAACATTGCCACCACACTCAGTCGAGGGGTGGGGAACCTGTGGCTCTGCAGATGTTATTGGGCTATAACAGGCTTCCTCCAACTCGGCCCTCCAGATGTTTTTGGCCTACAACTCCCATGATCCCTAGCTAGCAGGACCAGTGGTCAGGGATGATGGGAATTGTAGTCCCAAAACATCTGGAGGGCCGAGTTGGAGGAAGCCTGGACTATCATATCTGTCAGCCCCAGCCAGGATGGCCAGTGGCCAGGAAAAATGAGTAGTCCAGCCCCGCCTGCAAGTCCACACGCGTTCCCCAGCCCCACGGCTGTCAAGAAACCAAACACAGGATAGGGCAAAGCAGACAAAGAGGTGCAGATAGGACCAGGCTTGGTTTTGTAAATCTGGAGTCACCAGAGGCAGAGAGCAGGCTTCAGCTGTCCCCAAAGGCACCCTCCTACTTTCTACAATGTTAGAGGATTGGTTGACGTTCACTCCCATAGAGAAAACTGAACTAGGGGAGGGCATCGCAGTGAAAGCACAACCACCCGCGTGAACTTAGGAGGTGATTTGGGCCCAGAGGCAGGCAGGTGAGCACAGTACATCTGGCCACAGGCTTTTCTGCAGTGTGAGAGCCATTCCCTCATGTGCACCCCACCTGTCAGAATGATGGGCATGTACATTAAAAATATGGGAGAAACGGCCACCGTGTGGAATGTCTCTCTCCACCTGTCAAAGAGGGCAATGACACGCCTTAATGTACGTTGCCACAGATAACCTCTTGGGCATTTTATTATTATTATTATTATTATTATTATTATTATTATTATTATTATGTAAAAGGTGATAATTTCAGCTTCTATTAAAGAATTCGCAGGGGCTCCTCTGTCACATGGCATGCTTCCGAGCATAGCCTCTAGATGCTGACAGTGGCTTCATCTCCCCCGGCCGTGATCTCCAGCTCCAATTAGCACTTAGAAATAATGATAAGAGGGTTTCGTAGGCTTCTTGCACTCACCTCGGCTCAGCCCGTCTGGTCCCCGGAGGATCCGGCATTCTTCTATCTGGCCAAATGGAGAAAACATCACCCTGATATCGTTCTCGTTACACTTCTTCGAAACCATTCCTATGAACAATTTTCTGTCTTCCACAGCTAGGAGATAAAAAAATAAAAATAACGAATGAGCAAAGGGCAATTCAAACCCCTCTCTTCCCCTTCCCCTTGCCTCATCTGTGATCAATGCTTCATTACCACTTCAAACCGAGAGCTGGTCTTGTGAGCAGGGCAGCGCTAACTGATGGCAAGTCCTGTGGAAAACATTTCGCTGTACATGCAACCTTCTCTCTTTCCTTTCTGGAGTCACTCTCTGGCTTTCTCTTGCAATGGTTCCTCTCCTCTCCCTTCTTTGACCATCCCTACCCCTCTGGCTCAATCTACTACTACTACTCTACTACTACTACTAAGCGGTGTGCGCAGATTCTAATTTAGATGAAATCCACCCTCAATCCTGCCTTCTAATACATGAGAAGAGAAATGAGAATGGATGCCTGAAACAAAGCCTATGAACTCAGGGAAGACTTGCAAGGCATATGGGACACTCCAACCCGCCCCAAATCAATTTCAACAAGCTGTATGAAATGGGCAGCATCTATGCCAAAGACAGAATATTGGGGCAGGATTCCCTGCTCTCCTTTACCTAAAGCAATACAGTGATTCCCACCCCAAACGAACATTGCTAGTGAGCACCACCCTATCAGGGCTGAGTCGTTGCAAGATTACTACGGGGGAAACCAAATCCCCAGCAGACTTGTAATGCTGCGCTTGCAAAGATTATTATTTTTTCTTAAGGGGGTGCGGTCAAGTTATTGCTAGATGGTTTCCTTTTCTGTATAGGCTCACACAAAGTAGGTCAAGGGAGCAGCTGTATGCATTGGATTGAGTTTAAGCAAGCTCACACTCAGAAAGCTTTAAAGCGACAGAGCCTGAAATGGCATAAAGCTGGGTTGGGATGCATTGACAAATCTGATGCTTCAGAATTTGGACTCAGCAGGCACCAGAAGCGGATTTCTTACTACCTAAATTGTTTGTCCCACTTAACATTATTATTATTTTTTTAGAAGAAACACGTTTAGAAAAATTCACAAACCGCTAAATAAAAAAACCTCTGCATAGCATAATGTGAAGCAATTGCCAATAACATGCAGATAAAAATCAGCAAATATTTTTAAAGCTTTTAAAAAGTTTGCCCCGTTTTGCTGTGCTAATTAATCTACCTGTTGATAGCTGGTCATACCCAATCTGAGTCTCAAACGAAACAGTTGGATTTTTTGAAAAATCGCTTAAAATGTCAGAGAAGGATATGGGCTGCTCATATCTGAAAGTGATTTTTGTTTTCGTTTTGGTGAATTTCATTTTAAAAAGCTTAAATTTGCAAAAAAACAAACCAAACCAACCCCAAAAAACTCAACAGCTTTGTGTCTGGATTTTCATTTTTTGCAATATGGCTGCCCTAGTGAGTACAGAGGTCCTGAGTTGCCCAGATGACAATAGCTCCCCTCTCAGCCTTCCTGATGTGGTCCAAAGCAGAGCAAGATGTTTAGCACCAGCTGGGCTGCAGGAATTGTCAGGAGGCACATAAGGTGCCATCAGTGCCGGATTTGCACTTACCCTTCAAAATTCACAGCTTTCCAAATTTTGCAATGCAGTTCTCCAACCAGTGTTTACAAATATGCATGTATTAGGGGGAAATGCATATAGAAATTGATGTATTACGGTATTTTAATATTTTGTTGGAAGCCTCCCAGAGTGGCTGGGGAAGCCCCGCCAGATGGGCAGGGTATAAATAATAATATTATTATTTTTTATATTATGATTATTATTATTTAGAAATGAAGATTTTAGTGAAAATACAGAAATGCATGGCGTTAAGAGAAGTTGCTCGCAAACAGTGCTGGATTTACGTATAAGCTAAACAAGCTATAGCTTAGGGCCCCACTCTCTTGGAGGCCCCCCAAAATGTAAAGGAAAAAAAACCTGGACGTACATTTCCAAAATATAAGATAAAAATAAATAAAATAAAACCTCTATACAGCAACAGTGTTTTGTGTTGTGTAGGCTTCTATGATGTAAGTAATGGCCTGCTAGCCTGCTCCCTAAAATATCACCGGTTTGCTCATTTCTATATACAGTGGTACCTTATGCACTGTATTTCAGTTCAACAATTGCTTTGATAAAATACATATTTTGTTATGTGCAAAGGGCTTTAGATACCTATGAGGTCCATAAATTACCATATAGCATATATCCAACACAAAAAAACAGCGACCATTTCTTGTGGACAAAGGACAGCTGGACATATCAAGGGCCCCATTACCTTCAGTAGCTGAGGGCCTCATCAAACCTAAATCCGGCCCTGGGTGCCATCCAACCGTCTTAGGACTCCGCTCTGGATTTCTGTAGGGTTTCCTCCTTTCCCTTTTCCCATCAAGACTGCCGTAGGGGCGATGGGTCAAGACACTTCTGCCCCTAATCGCCAAGGTCCCCACCTGGATTAGCTCCCTTGCCTTGCAATTTACTTTTTAAAAAGCCAGCCACACCCTTGCTGGTGCTATACAGTGGTTAGGCATCAGAGGGCCAGTGGTCTGATTCAGTATAAAGCCAGATTGCTATGCCCCATGTGCATGAACTGAGCATGTGCCAAAAAAGCGTGTCCTCCTTCCTGGAGAGCACGTGTTGCGGCGGGGGCTAGCAAGACACCCCACAGTTGCTGGGCGGGAAAAGAGTTTGGCCACCATTATCATGGAGCTTCCTGTTGCTGGGGAGATTTATATGTTGCCATTTTGTGATTGACAGCCATAGCCTTTAAATACCTTGCGCGCAGCATTGAGCTTCCTCTTTTCGCTGCGCGCATCGGATCACCCGTCCACCCTCCCTATGTTCAGCGTTGTTTGCTTGACCTTGCTATGCCTGTCATGGGGTCGTCTGCTTTTGGGGCAGGGACACCGGTAGGAATTTTGTCCATTTGGCTGATTGGCTGGTGCCATTTGGTTTTTGCCTACTGCATAGCAAATTGTCACAACTTGTAAGGTTGCAGTTAGGCATTGGTTTTATGAATTGGTTGGTGGAGGGGTATGGATTGGCTGTGCTGCTGCTGCAAGGGTATTTCATTAAAGGAATCCAGGGGCTCGCCATGCTTTTGTCCAAACCCCTGTCAAGGGGCTAGGGCCACACAAGAGCTCCTGGGAGCATTTGGGGAAAGGTGAGAACATGGTACCCAGCTCTGCCTCTCTCCCCAAATGTTTTCCCTTACTGACTTTACATGCATGCGAATGTCAGTCTGTCCCCGTGTGGGATCAGATAGTCGCAACCAATGCCTAAGCAACCACTCACATTTCTTGTATTTTCAATAAAGTTGTGTATACCAAAATCCTTAAACTAAAATCAAGTGTCAATGGTGTTTTATTTGGGGGGTGGCTTGGAGACCTTGACACACAAACATGCCTCACTGTTCTACAACATGTCTTTGCTCTGTGGCCAACGGCTGTGCTTCTTCCACTAACAGGCTGAGGTGGAAAGCGTTCCCTGAAGACGGAAGCTTGAAAGCCGCCGATCGAGTCTTTCCTTTTATCCTTCTCCTTCTTTGATCACGTGCAACCCCAGGGGGTGGCGGGAAAAGGGGGTCTTAAGCGACAGGGGACAGATGTCAGATAAGAGACATCCAAGACCAGACCTATACACGATGGATCTGAAAGGCTTGGAAGATTGCCAAGTCACTGTTCTTGTCCATCTTCCTCCAAACCGCAAGTGCTTATTATACAGCAGATACCCTGTTCCTTCCTTGGCTCTGGAAATGTCATGCAAATTCTATGCACTGCTAATGAGCACATAGTCAGGGCTGGTAGGGAAGCGCGGAGAAATCGTTCCTCCAGAGAACCTGCCATTCAGTTATTTATTTCTATTATTGTGCAAATTATTTTAGTAATGAAGGAGTTCTTTCGTTTCCATTCCACTGGGGGACGGATGGGGAAGGAGAGGGGGGGGAATCTTCCCCAAGCCCCCTCCCCTTCTCCCCATCCAGGAATATTAGCAAGCATTTGCTGGGGGGCAGAGGGGGGGCATGTAGTGCAGCAGAGTACTGTACAGAGAAAACCAGCATATTTTCATTCTGTTTTATGTGTCTCACAGCTTTGATACGTTTTTTCGCGCACTGTGCATAACTATATAGCGGCGAAAGTGTGTACGTCGTGTCTTGGGTTAGCTGTGTTGAGGCGCTCAACTGTTTATCACTCCCTAGAGCACCATCAAGTATTTTCCCCCCAAATATTCATGCACAGTTAGCAACATTATTCTGCTATTTTATACTAGCTGGCATACGGAAAACATGCTTCCCAGCCCAGGAAATAAAAAAGAGATAGCAACTGAACCATTAAGCAAAGCAAACAAACTGGTGAGTTCTAGTTTGGGCCTCAATCCAAATTTCACGAAGAACAAAGCTTTATTGTAGAGTACAATTCACCAGGTATAAGGTCTCCATTTTGGTCCTCAGAACTGCTTCACTGGGGCAAGATCACCAGGCCTGCACTGTTTTGGTTTCTTTGAATAAAGAGTTAACGTCACTGACTTATTTTATTTTATTTTATTTGCTGACCATTTTCTGACACTAGCTCCTAACAGACCCTTACTCTACCTCATGGGTAGGCAAACTAAGGCCCAGGGGCCGAATCCGGCCCAATCACCTTCTAAATACAGTCCGGGAATCAGCGTGTTTTTACATGAGTAGAATGTGTGCTTTTATTTAAAATGCATCTCTGGGTTATTTGTGGGGCATAGGAATTCGTTCATCCCCCCCCCAAATAAATACTCCGGTGTCAGGGAACTGCCATCAGAACAGGGGCGGGAAACAGAGGGGCAGTCTTGTTACAGGGAGCCTCCGAAAATCTTGCGAGGCAGTTCTTCTGGTGATGAGGAAAGCTCCACCTCCAGTGGGGATGAGGTAAAAGGACCTGAGGATGCTGGTAGGAGCCTCAGCACCGCTCCTGGCCAAGCCGGGCAGGAGGGAAGCACGCCCCATCCATCGCCCACCCTGCGCAGAGGTCTAAAGAGCAAAGAGGGAAGGAAAAGGCTGGGAGTAACGAGACTTTTATGTTGGGGGA